TTTTAGTTTGATTTAATTTAGTTTAATTTGATTTTATTTATTTTAGTTTATTTTAGTTTGATTTGATTTGATTTGATTGTTTGTTTGTTTGTTTGTTTGTTTATTTTTATTTGTTTGTTTATTATTGTTTGTTTTGTTTTGTTTGTTTTTTATTTGTTTAATTTAATTCATTTATTTTTATTTGTTTATTCCTTTGTTTATTTATTTATTCGTGGATTTCTTTTATTTTTGTTTGTTTGTTTGTTTGTTTGCGGCTTTGTATTATCTTTGTTTTATCTACTTATTTTATTTTGCTTTATTTTATTTTGTTTCGTCTTTTCGTTGTTATTTTTTTGTTGTTTGTTTTCTTCTTTTCTTTTTCTCGATTCCGCCTTATGTGTATGTTTATATTATATATATATATTTGGAGTTAAGTTAACATATTGTTTGTTCATTTGTTTGTTTTGTTGTTCTTTGCTTTGTTTATTTAATTTCTTTCTTTATTCTGTTTCTTCACTATGTTTTTTCGTTTGATTATTTCGGCTGTTTATTTTGTTTATTTTGTTTATTTTGTTTATTTTGTTTATTTTGTTTATTTTGTTTATTTTGTTTGTTTATTTTGTTTGTGTTTTATGCTTTTCTCAAATTTGTTTTGTTTGATGAATAAAGAAAAAGAATAAAAGAGTGAGTATAAAAGAATTAAGTAAATAATAAATATAATTTTATTTGTTTTGTTTGCATGCAGGGATCTAGTAGATAAGATAGGTATAACTTTAGAGCTCGACACGGACGGCATCTGGTGTTTGCTTCCTAATACATTTCCTCTCAACTATACCTTTACTCTAAAACCAGAGCAGCAGCAAACCAGCAGCAGCAGCAGCAACAGCAGCAGCAGCAGCAGCAGGGAGGTGAAGACATTGCGTTTTGAATATCCTACATGGATGCTGAATAAGGCAGTGTATGATCGCTTTAAGAACACGCAGTTTCTGTCCTTTGACCCAGCACTGCATGCATTTAAAAAGGAAATAAGAAATGAAGTTTTCTTCGAATTAGACGGCCCCTGGAGAGGCATGTTCTTACCAGCCAGCGAAAAATCTGATGCTCTGCTCAAAAAGAGGTAAGCAACACCTTGCTGCTGCCCCTGCTACTGCTGCTGCTGCTGGTGTTGCTGCTGGTGTTGTTGCTGCTGTTGCTGTGGCTGCTGCATAAAGAATTGCTGTTTTCGTTTCCTATTTTGTTGTTGAAACCATATATATATATATACATTTGTATTTATATGCTTATGCTTATATATTTAAATTTATATTCATTTTAACATTCATAAGAATACAAGTAAAACAACTATATATATGTATATATATATATATATATATATTTGTATGTATTTGTTTGTTGTATAGATATGTGGTGTACGGGTCTGGCGGGTCGATAAGCGAGTTGAAAGGATTTGAATTGAAGAGAAGAGGAGAGTTTGAAGTGATAAGACGCATGCAGCATGAGCTGTTTCCTGCATTTATGCTAGGAAGTTCAAAGAAAGAGTCGTTTGCTGCTGCTGCTGCAGTAGGTAGAAGATATTTGCTGCTGCTGCAGCAGCAAGGTGCTGCTGCTGCTTCAAATGAAGTGCTTCAGCAGCTGCTTGTAGCGAGGAAGGTGCTTGCTAAGAGTGTAGCTAGCCAGTCTTTAGCGAAATCTCTGAGCATAACAACAGCAGAGAGGCTAGCAGAATTACTACAAAATAAAAGCTTCTTAACGGATGCACCTGTCTCTGTACATTATCTTGTTTCTTCGCTCCCTGCAAATCTACCCGTAGCTTCTCGAGCAATACCTATACAGCTGCTGCAGTCTCAGCAGCAGCAGCAGCAGCATTTCATGCAAAAATGGCTGGGAATATCTGCTGCTGCTGCTGCTGCTGCTGCAGCTAATCCTAAATTAATTATTGACTGGGGATATTACTTAGAAAAAATTGAAACGCAGCTTTTAAAGCTGCTTGTAATCCCTGCAATACGACAAAATGTTGATAATCCCTTACCACAGCTGCGTCTACCGACTTGGATTAAAAAGCATCAAACAATGCTTTCAAACAAACAAACAAAGATTAGTCATTTCTTTACCTCAATATACACCCCACGCATGCAAGGACAGCAGCAGCAGAAACAGCAGAAACAGCAGCAGCAAACGCAACAACAGCAGCAGCAGCAGCAGCAGCAGCAGGAAGGTTGGGAAAAGGAAGGAGAGGGGAGCGATGCTGCTGCTGTCGATGATGATGCAGCAGCAGCAGCAGCAAGGCATTCAGAGATGCAGCAGCAGCAAGAAAAAGTGCAGCATCAGCTGCAGCTGCAGCAACAGCAGCAGCAGCAACAGCAGCAGCAGCGCCAAGCCGAGATGCAACTCTTTAAGACGAATATTCACGAATGGATTACAACGCAAAGAGTTAAATGGCAAAGACTTAGAGAGGTAAAACCCTAAACCCTAAAACCCTAAACCCTAAAACCCTAAACCCTAAAACCCTAAACCCTAAAACCTAATCCCTTAACCAGTTGAACACTAAACCCTAAACCCCTGATTCCTATGACGATGCATATGTATACCCCAAATGAAATCGTGCTACGCGTTTTTGGGTTTAGGGTTTAGGGTTTAGGGTTTAGGGTGTAGGATTTAGTGTGTAGGAATTAGAGTTAAGGGTTTAGGGTTTAGGGTTTAGGGTTTAGGGTTTAGGGTTTGTGGTTTGTGGCTTACAGGAGCTACGTGGGTTGCAGCGTCGGGCTGATAAGAGTGCATTTAATTCTTCGTTTGGTTTAGGTGTAGATACACCTCAGAAAGAGTTAATAAATTTATTTTGTTTAAATTCAAACATCAATAAAAAAGATTTGCAGCTGCTGCTAACGGAGAGATGGGAAGTCTTAGACTTCTACCGCATCGATCCAGAGGTGATTTCATTTATTTATTATTAATTAATTTATTTATTTATTTTATTATTTATTTATTTATTTATTTATTTATTTATTTATTTATTTATTTAATTTGTTTATTTAGATAAGTGGGTAGATGGGCATTTGCTTGTTTATTTTTTAGTTTATTTGATTGTTTTTTTGTTTATTTATTTTTCGGTTTATTTGTTTATTTGTTTATGTGTTTGTTAACCTGTTCATTTATTTATGTATCTATTTGTTTATTTATCTAAATTATTTATCTGTTTATTTATTTATTTATACATTCATTTGTTTGTTTATGTGGTTTAATTTGATTTTCCGTCGTCTTCTGCATTTCATTTTTTTAATCCCTCCCTCTGTCATTTGCCATCAAATTTTAGGGTTTAGGGTTTGTGGTTTAGGGTTTGTGGTTTAGGGTTTCGGGTTAGTTGTTTATGGTTTATGCTATAGGGTTTAGGGTTTAGGGTTTATGGTTTAGGGTTTAGGGATCCTGATTTAGGGTTTGTGGTTTGTGGTCTAGGGTTTCGGGTTAGTTGTTTATGGTTTATGGTTTAGGGTTTAGGGTTTAGGGTTTAGGGTTTAGGGTTTAGGGTTCAGGGTGTATGGTTTAGGGTTTAGGGTTTAGGGTTTGTGGTTTGTGGTTTGTGGTTTAGGACGAGGGTTTATATTGTGTGCGTTTGACGACTCCGTCCTCTCTTTGTTTTTTTTCTGTTCGTCTTCAAATATTTCGACGCCTCTTCGTAAACAGCACAACCCCACTGAGCAACACCACCATCACCTGCAGCAGCAGCAGCAGCAGCAGCAGCAGCAGCAGCAGCAGCAGCAGCATAACAGTGAAGGGTTTATCTGGGCGTTATTTGCTGCCCCGCGGATTGAAGCAGCTTTATTTGGCTGAGTTATGCCTTCGAGAAAAAAATTTTAATTTAAATAAGAACTCTATTTATGCTTCCTTTCATCAACGCGCTGCTGGCATCTTTGAAGGAAACGTAAACCCTAAACCCTAAACCCTAAACCCTAACTGCATCCTAAACCCTAAACCTCAAACGCTACATGGGTAGCTTAACCCTCCCGTTTAAGGGTTTAGAAAAAAATCTAAACCCTAAACCCTTTCTCTGGTGTCATGCAGCTGCTCTAGAATGCGGTCTACGGTTTAGGGTTTAAGGTTTAGGGTTTAGGGTTTAGGGTTTAGGGTTTGTGGCTTGTGGTTTCAGCTGCCTTTGGATTTTGCGTTTTTGTCGCACATGGGCAATATGATGGAGACCCACACCACTGACCTACAAAACGGTAAACCCTAAACCCTAAACCCTAAAACCCTAAACCCTAAAACCCTAAACCCTATATATGTATACCCTGAACCCTAAACCCTAGTCATATATATGCCATAAGCGAGGGCTTTCTTTTGTTTAGTTTGTTTTTTTTGTTTATTTTGTTTGTCTGTTTTGTTTGTTTTGTCTGTTTTATTTGTTTTGTTTGTTTAGTATGCCGGTTGCATTTATTTAGTTTGTTTATTTTTCCTTGCTTAGTTTGGTTTGTTCATATGGCTAGGGTTTAGGGTTTAGGGTTTAGGGTTTATATGAATAGGGTTTAGGGTTAAGGGTTTATTTTATATATGACTAGGGTTTAGGGTTTTAGGGTTTATTATATATGGCTAGGGTTTAGGGTTTAGGGTATATTTATTTTGTTTATTCGTTTTATTAGTTTATTTATTTATTTCTTTTTTGTATTTGTTTGTGTTGATGCTCAGTGATAGACCCCACAGGCGTTTTTCTTTCTTCGGGCTTCTCTCGGGCGTCTGCTTCATCTGCTGCTGCTACTGCTGCTGCTGCTGCTGCTGCTGCAGCTAGCAAGCTGTCTTCTGCTGCTTATGGAGGCAGCTTTAAGCCTCTTTTTGTGCATATAATTCACAGCAGCAACTCTAAAGACAAACAAACCTCGAAAAACCCCACAGATCGCCTCTTCTGTGCTGTCTACGAACCCCACGCACTCGATCCCGAAGCCGATCCCAACGATCCCAGCGATCCCAGCAAATTCCTCGCTAGCCCTTCTGCTGCTTTCTTCATTGGTGGGAACGTACGAAGAGAAATAAGCCCCTGCTTGCTGCAGCAGCAGCTGCTGCAAGCTGCGATAGAACAGCAGCAGCAGCAGCAACAGCAAGAGGAGGAGGGAGATGAAGAAGAAGACGAAGAAGAACAAGAGATGGGTGGTTCTGAAGCTGCACATACACCTGATCCTATTTCAGGTGTATATGCAACTAAGAATACAACACAAATGTTTGCTTCGCTCGATCCCAATACACTCAACAAGTTCAGGGAGACGCATTTGCTGCAGAGGCCCCTCTGCCGCTTCTTCTGCAGCAGCAGCAACATCACAGGCGGCAGCACTGCAGCAGCAGCAGCAGCAGCAGCTCGAGCGCAGCAAAAGGATGTAACCCAGACACTAAGGGCCCTGGAGGAGTTCTTATACTTGAAGCAGCAGCAGCAGCAGCAGCTATCTTCAGCAGCAGCAGCAGCAGGCGCAGCTTCCCGCAGCCGCAGCAGCAGCAGCAGCAGCAAATACATTATATTGCTGCTATCTACTCTATCAGATAACGAATTAGGTAGCTGGGCGACAGCCTCCAGCCAAACAAATGCAAAAAACTCTGCATTTAGAATCCCCGTGCTGCGCCTCGAAGCAAACGCAAACCTCCGCTCTCTTAGCAAGACAGATTTTGCTGAGTCAGCACACCTAAACCCTAAACCCTAAACCCTAATGAAACCCTTTCGAGGCCCTAAGGTAGTCAGTCTACACCCTCAGGAGACCCCTTCTGGGCTTCCTCGGCACACTCGCTAACATTCTGCTTCTTATCTTGCTGCTGCGTTTGCTGTTGCTGTTGCTGCTGCGGTTGCTGCTGCTGCTGCAGGGCAGCGTTTCGGGCGTCGCAGGGTTTGCTGCTGCAGCAGCAGGAGTTGTTTGAAGCTTCTCTTTGGCTGTCTCGCACAATGTTCTTCCCCTTGGGATTAGCATTAAAGGGCTTAGCGTCTGAGGACCCTGCTGCTGCTGCTGCTGCGCAGCAGCAGCAGCAGCATGGAGGCCCAACAGCAGCAACAGCAGCAACAACAGCAGCAGCAGCAGCAGCACTTCCGCCGCCATTAGGAGGGTTTCGAGGACCTCGAGAAACGATGAGGGTTTTGTATGATAGCTTCTTCGCTCAAACCCTAAGACAGCACAAAGGCATCCTATGGAGCAGCAGCTGCAGCAGCAGCAGCAGCAGCAGCAGCAGCAGCAAGCTGGTAGACTTTGTGCTGCGGCAGCAGGAAACAGATATTGGAGGAGCTTGTTTATCTTCTTCTGCTTATGCTGATTATGATTTAATAGACAAACAAAACACAAAAACTCAGCCAGGGATATACCGCTGCATTTGCTACGAACTCGCTATGGGAGACTCCGTAATATACTGCACTCCAAACCCTAAACCCTAATCAAACCCTAAACCCTAATCAAACCCTAAACCCTAATCAAACCCTTATTAAACCCTTAATAAACCCTAATCCAACCCTGATCAAACCCTAATCAAGCCCCTAAATAAACCCTAATCAAACCCTAATCAAACCCTTATTAAACCCTAATCAAACCCTCATTAAACCTTTATCAAACCCAGGTAGAATGTAAATAAACCCCAAGTAAACCCTAATTAAGCCCTAGTTAAACCCTAATTAAACCCTAATTAAACCCAATGAAATAGGAATGCTGCGAGGGTTTAGGGTTTGGGCTTCAGAGCAAAAGACCTGCATGTGCATATCCAGGTATTAGAATAATTTAGGGTTTAGGGTTTAGGGTTTAGGGTTTAGGGTTTGTGTTCAGCTGATCTTCAACAGCGTTCGGCTGGCAGACAAAGTTGACCCTGAATATTTAAGTGCTGCGGATTGGTTGCGATATGAAGGAGACTCCCTTGCTGCTGCTGCTGCCGCTGCAGCAGCAGCTGCTGCTGGAGATAGTGCTGCTGCTGCTGCTGCTGATGATGATGAACATGAAGAAACAGCAGAAGAAGCAGCAGCAGCAGCAGTAGCACAAGGGCAGCCAGCAGCAGACTTAGCGCTTGAGGGTTTCCATTCGCATACTCAGTTCTCCCCCGCAGCCTTCAGGGTAAACCCTAAACCCTAAACCCTAAACCCTCGGAGCTAAACCCTAAACTCTTAAGCAGATGAAGGAGAGGTGGAGAAGGGGTCAATTGCTTGGCTGCTAGGGTTTAGGGTTTATTTTAGGTTTTAGGGTTAGGGTTTGTGTGTTGAGGAGGCTTGCTTCTTTTCTCTCTAGGGTTTAGGGTTTAGGGTTTAGGGTTTAGGGTTGCGTGGGGTTTGCGCTGTAGGTTTTAGGGTTTGGTCTGCAGCGTTTGTTCGGGTGTCTGTATACACTGGAGAAGAAAAACAAAACAGAGTCATCTCGGCTGTCTCATTTAATCTTTTCATCGTTTTACCCCTGGGTTTGCAACCCCAATACTCTTTTATTTGATGCCGCACTAAGAGCGAAGGTCTGCAAACCCTAAACCCTAAACCCTAAGCCCTAAACCCTTCTTTGAACCAGCACGGAAGAGACAAACCCTAAACCCTATCTATACCTCACACAACGCCTCAAGGGCTGATTCTCTGCTTGCTCGGGTGGTTAGGGTTTAGGGTTTAGGGTTTAGGGTTTGGGATTTAGGGTTTAGGGTTTAGGGTTTGGGGTTTAGGGTTTGTGGTTTGGGTTTGTCTTTAGGTGCAGCGACACGCTGAGGTGTATTTGCTGCTGCTATTAAAAGAAATGACGTCTTCGTTTTCTTTTAAAGTTGTAGCAGCAGATCTACGAAGAGTTGTTGTATCAACGGAGCTGGTTATTGCTGCTGCAGCGCAGCAGCAGCTGCAGCACGCGCTGCAGCAGCTGCAGCAGCAACCCCTCTTTGAAGCCCTTGCTATATACCCCTCCGATTCTTTTGTTGCTTTTCTTCAACTAGATGAGCGCGATTGGTTAGGGTATAGGGAGTTCGTTCCTTTCGCCAGCAGCAGCAGCAGCAGCAACAGCAGCAGCAGCAGCAGCAGCAGCAGCAGTTTGGTGAATGAGGGTATATGCGACAGCCTTTCTGTTTTGAGGTGCTTCCCCCCTCCTTTGCTGCACTTCATCCGTGCTGCTATCGACAGAGTTGTGCAGCTGCCGCTGCTGCAGCTGCTGCATCAAATAAACGAGACAGAAGACGATCTCTGTAGCAGCAGCAGCAGCAGCAGCAGCAGCAGCAGCAGGGAGTGGACAAGGGATGAGGTTGCAGCAAAGCTGTCGGAGTTAGCTGTGGGGTTTTGGTTTGCTGCTGTTGATGAAGAGAAGGAGCAAACCCCCTGCGATATCAACACAGACAAACAACAAAACCCTAAAAACAAAAATAAAAATAAATCCTTTCTAAACACCTTCAGACGCCTCCTCAATGACCCCGTTCAACTCCTGCGCAGTACGCAACTACGTTTATACATTAAAACGAGGGTTTAGGGGTTTAGGGTTTAGGGTTAAGGGTTAAGGGTTTAGGGTTTTAGGGTTAAGGGTTTAGGGTTTTAGGGTTTAGGGTTTGGGGTCTTAGGGTTGTAGGGTTTAGGGTTTAGGGTTTTAGGGTTTAGGGTTTAGGGTTTGTGGTTGTGGCTGACAGAGTACGGTTCCGCTAGTGAAGTTCGGCAGAGCAAGGAACTCTCCTTCAAGTGGGACCTGGGGTTTAGGGTTTAGGGTTTAGGGTTTAGGGTTTAGTGTTTAGGGTTTGGGGTTTGTGTAGAAGTTTGAATTTGTTTGTTTCTGCTGTGATTATCTGTTATTTGCTTGCGAGTTGTTTGCTGCCGATTCTTTTAATTTGTTTATTTATTTTTGATTTATTTATTTATTTGTATTATTATTTTTTTGTTTTTCTTTGGGGACATCGCAGCTAGCGAATTGCTGCATATTTCAGGTGTATATGCAGCTATTTTTAAGAGTATGTATATATTTGTATTTGATAGTAATTGTTTTTAATTTAGTTTGATTTTGTTGCATGCATGGGGTGTATAGGCAGGTATATTGTATATTTGGGGTGTATGCACAGGTCTCTTCAACTTCCTTCATGTTTCGGTTTCCGTTCTTCGTCTTCTTCTTGGCGTTATTTAGCAGTTTCTTTTGTTTGCCGTCTGATGCAAATCGATTTAAATATCGACTACCAACAACAAAGCTGGGCAGAGGCACTAGCCGTAAGGGTTTAGGGTTTAGGGTTTAGGGCTTAGGGTTTAGGGTTTGAAGGGTGGCACTGGAGGGTACGCGGTTTTGTTTCGGAGGCTCGCAGATTTATCTTCAGCAGGCTAGGGTTTAGGAATTTGGGTACGGGGTCTAGGGTTTAGTATATAGGGTTTAGGGTTTAGTATATTGGGTTTAGGGTTTAGGGTTTAGGGTTTAGGGTTTAGGCAAGCAGGAGTATGAGACGCATCTCTTCTATTTCACTTTTGTTGTGTAAGGCGCCATTTTAAAGTATTTATGTTGCTTTTATACAAACAGTATAAATAAATAAATATATATATATATATATTTATATATTTATATCTATTTATATTTAATATTTATATATATTGTTTGTATTGAAATGATTATTTGTGCATGCTATACTGTCTGTACCCATCGATAAAGCATAATAAAACTACGTTTAATATATATTAATAAATTAATTAATTAATTAATTTATTTATTTATTTATTTATTTTGTTTGTTTGTTTGTTCAGGAGCGATCTCATAGTTTGTATACGTTAGCTGGGGTGTCTGATGGTTTGTCTTTTAGCTGGGTTTCGCCGCTTTCTTCTTTATATATCTCCGATGTCTTATGCGCATCTTGCAACATAGTTAGCAATCTTGAAGTTATATCTTCGCTTGTTGATGTTCTTGCTGATACTGTTGATGGAAAACAAATCCTACTCAAAGTCTGGTGAGTGCTTAGAGTTTAGGGTTTAGGGTTTAGGGTTTAGGGTTTAGCGTTTAGCGTTTACAGGGATTATGGCGTAAGGGCGAGGGGTATTAGCGTTTTCGGGTTTGTAGTTAGAGTTTAGGGTTTAGGGTTTAGGGCTTAGGGTTTTGTACCGAGGGTTCTTGGGCAACTGTACTGACGTCAATGTTTGAACTCCGCGTTACATTCAGGGTTTAGGGTTTAGGGTTTAGGGTTTAGGGTTTGGGGTTTGCAGCAAATGCCCTTCGTGCGGCTCTGCTTTGGATGATGATTTGTTGGAGGGTCATTTGCTTCGAGCTCTGCAAGAAATGCACTACGCTTTTCTGGTGCGTGTTGCAAACCCTAAACCCTAAACCCTAAACCCTAATTCGCAATCAAGTCACCCTGAACCCTAAACCCTAAGCCCTAAGCCCTACGCCGCAAGCAAACCCTGGACCCTTAACCTTAAACCCTAAACACTAATTCTCCGGCAAACCCTAAACCATAATCCCTATCTCTCAAACAACCCTGAAACGCTAAACCCTAAATCCTGATCGTCCAGCAAACCCTAGACCATAAACCCTAACTTTCTTTGTAGCTTTTGTCTTTAGCCCTAAAGACATAAAGCCTTCTTGAGTCTGCAAACCCTCAGCAACGCTTTAAACCCTAAACCCTCGATGCCTTTCCCTCACCGATGCAAACCCTAAACCCTAATTTTCTTCTAGTCTCTGAGCAACCGTAAACCCTCGAGTTGCGTTCTGTTCTAAACTCTAAACCCTCAACTGTAAACCCTAAACCCTAAACCCTAGGGAGGTCTGAGGGTTGTGGCTGTGTGCTCAGGCCCAGGACTTTTACTGCGTCGGTTGTCGCTCTGTCTGCGTTTCGCACCTCCGAGACAAGTGCAAGTGCGTGACGGTTTAGGGTTTAGGGTTTAGGATTAGTGTTTAGGGTTTAGGGTTTAGGGTTTAGGGTTTGGCGCGATTGACTGCTGGCTGCTCTGCGCAGATGCGGCAAACCCTTCAAGTCGCGTCTCGACCCGAAGATTTGGGAGTAAGACAGACAGCCCCTTTCCTCGCCTGTTGTTGAGGGTTTAGGATTTAAGGTATAGGGTTTAGGGTTTAGGGTTTGGGCTGCGTTGTGGGATGTTGCTGCTGCAGGGAGTTCATGCAGACAGTGCAGGAGGTGGCTGTAGAAATGGGTTTGGAAACCCTACAAGCCTGCCTCGTGCAAATCCAGGAGGCGTGGTGCTAGGGTTTAGGGTTTAGGGTTTAGGGTTTAGGGTTTAGGGTGGGAATACCCCATCCCGTTTTTTTTTAAATACTCCAAATTGTTTTTAGTTTGAATTCTTTTAGGGATAAAAAATAAAATTTTTACTTGTACACACCGCAGCAGACAGCGGAGTGTTTACAATTTAACCATAAGTGTTTACGGTTTAGGGTTTGGGCTTGGGGGTTTAGGGTTTAGGGTTTAGGGTTCTACTTCAACTGTATAAGTAACGAGTTAGTATAAGGGACATCAAGGAGGGGGCAGACGGCGGTTTTCCCTTAAAAATGAAGCTAATAATGAAGATTATAAATTTATGTTTAAATAAATAAAAAAGAATTTATTTTTATAATATTAATATTCTTTCGTGGTTGATGATACTTCAATTTCGTTCTGCTGCGCCTTCGGTGACATCGAAGCGGCGTTGATCGTCAGCAGCGAAAGGGCAGAGAAAAATGTTGAAATGAGGGGTTAAAAATCCCTAAAATGAATAAATTAAATTATATTTATATTTAAATAAATAAAACAAATTTATTTGCGTTTAAATTTCTTTATTTAAAGACATTTTTCTTAATATAAACGACAGATCAAGAGAAGCGTTGCTCTGCAGCTGCACGCCTCGGGCGGGCCGCCGGTGTCTGTACAGTGGAAATGCATCGCAATAGGAATACGGAAATTTTAATATAATTATTTTCTTTTCTTCTTCTTTTTAAGGATATAAATCTTCTCTCTTCTTCTGATCGCAGCCAATTCTCTCTACTAATCATCCCTAACGCGACCCGTACAGCATCTGTTTCCCTGCATATATTTCCTATATCTTTCTCCTTATGAATTCTCTTCGTTCCCCTCTAATTAAAATAACTCCTTTAAACAAACAAACTGAGAAGCAGATGGAGCAGAGGCCGAGGTGCTTTGAGGGTTCTTCTTTGAGTCGTTTGCTGTTACATGCGAAGATCGATGAAGATGTAGAGGGTTTTATTTCAAGGTTGATGCAGAATGAAGAAGGGAAGAAAACAATTAAAGCCCTGTTGCATGCAGCAGCAGATCTTGGGGCTTTAGATCGACTCCAGGTGCCCAATAGTGCGATGGAAGCGGGTCTTTGTTATCTTCCTGAACTGCAAGTGAAAACAAAGAGCTGTCTGTACACCTCAAGAGCAACCCGTAACAACAACAGCAACAACAACGCCACAACAATCGCAATTCTACCAAACGGCACTTCTCCTTTTAGAAGCCAGATGTTTATTTGCAGAGACATTGAAGACGAACAACAAAGAGGGGAGTTTGTTCTTAGACTCGATAATATTATTCATCTCCTCGGCTCTTCTTTCATTCCCAGAAGGCCTCACTCTACTCTCAAGCCAATAACTACTAAATAAAAGGAAAACAAAAGAAAAACAATTAGATATTTTTATAATCCAGATAAAGATAGAGAATAAATAATGAGGGGATTATGCACAATGAAAAAGACAGAGAAATGCAAAGAAAAAATAAATATATTTGTTCGCTTGTTTATGTTTTTAGGGTTTAGGGGTTTGTTATTCTACAAACTTTTTATCTCTTTACTAAATATAAACGATACAACAATCACTCCTTACCTCTCCACTACCATAATTGTCTATCTCCTCTCCTCTCTCTCTCTCTCCCTTGCAGTGTATATATAATATATATAATATTATATATAATAAAAATTATATATATACGCTATATATATATATATTAAATGTATACATTATATAGCCTCTTTTGTCTCAGCCAAATATTCGGTTGATCGGTTTTCCGCTGTTTAAACCGAACGCCTCGATCCACTTTGTCGCTTTGACGGAAGACAAAGAGCAAATAATTTATTCTTTTTTGTTTCTTCTTTACTATTTACTTCATTTTATTTATTCTTCACGTTTGATTGCCTATTTGTTTTTATTTGATTATCACATATTGCGTATTTCCGTTGGTTGTTTATTGTTTATGCTTATTCTCTATTCTTTATTGTTTTTGTTTGTTTATTGTTAATTCTTTGTTTATTGCCTTTGTTTGTTCATTAATTATTGTTTTTGTTTGTTAATTGTTTGATGTTTCAATTGCTTTTTCATTTAAAGGAGGCTTCAGCCGCAATCTCCTCTTTGAAGAAATCCCCCGAAATTTTGGGTGAATCGACAGAATTGGCTCCGCAGGCATTTGCCCCTGCAGACAGTGAAGAAGAAAATAAATAAATAAATAAAAATAAATATATAAACGAGTCAATAAATAAATCCATTAAAATGAATATATAAGTAAACAAATAGACATGCATTTGTATTTAAAATAAAATAAAGAAATACAATAAAATGAAGAAATAAACAGTTGGAATTAAACAAATGAACGTATAAATGCATAAACACATATGCCAAACAAACAAATAAACAAATAAATAAATAAATAGATAAATAGATAAATAGATAAATAGATAAATATTCACTTAATTAATTGGTTAATTACTTAATTAGATGCAAGTATTTATTTTTTTTATTCTTACCTTGTCAATGTGGATCGTTATGCCGCCTTTTTCGGGTTCTTCAATTACTTTTTCTAACACCTGAATCGCAAACAAGAACAAAACATTTACATTTGGCAGTTAGAGATAATAATAATAATAGTAATAATAATATTTTGATATATAATATTTAAATATATCCCATTATTTATATAATATATACAAGATAATATATATAATATATAGAATATGCAAAATATAGAAATATAAATATATATGTATATATATGAGCATAATAAATTAACTTTTAGTGTTTAAGTTTTGCTGTGATTGAATAAATAAATGACGTTATAATTCATTTATCTTTGGGGTTTAATAAAGGTGATGTCAGCCAAACAAACATTTTAGAAATTTTAACAGGATTTGTTTTGATGAAGTAAACTAATGGTGATGGATATAATATATTTGCTTTAGGGGTTTTAGTCGGGTTTGTATATTAACAAAACATTGCATGCCATAATAGATTTTTATAGGGGTTTATTTTGATCTGTACTTTGATGAAATACACAAAAATTCACCTCGCGCTGTTCAATCTCCAGGGGGGGCTCGCCGGCTATTTCCTTTCGCATGGCGCCTTGGTGAAGGCAGAGGATTTGCTTGGTGATTGCCTTCCACTGCACATATAAAAAATAATATTAAAAGCAATAAAACAATAATAGTAATACATTAGGAATATTACTATTAATAGTGGTGACAAAAGCAACAATAATAATGGCAAAAACCATAATAATAATAATGAATTAGAATATAGATAAAAACATGAATATGGATAGGCATAGAGATCTCCTCACCCATTCGTCTCTGCAGCTTCTGTTCTCGCAGCTGAGGAAGGAAGGGAATAAATAAACCGTAAGGGAGAGCTTTTAAGCTTAAGTAAATTAATTCTCGAATATCACTAGCCAGCGAGGCATATATATTTATATATTTAATTTATTTAATCTTTTAATAGTGCTAAAGTAAGGAAGTACTCACCACAAAATATCCGGGTCATCGGCTTGTGCATGTTTAATAGAAATGCAGGTTTCATCATTGGGCAGAATATGCAGTGGAGTTTCGACGGCTTCTGGTGGAAAAATTAAAAAAGAAATGAAAAAACAGAGTAAGCTTTTAAAAATATAAATAAAAAAGAAAAAACTAACCCAAATCAATTGTCTTGTATTCTTTGTTGCCTCTGTTTTCGTTCTCATCGTTGTATTATCCATACGCACACATATTCAGTTCAGCGTATTTTTGCTTCTCTTCAGCTTACCTCAGGAGTTTAATGCAATTTTTCTTTAAAATTACAGTCACTTTGCATCCTTTAGAAATATCTTGGTTTTTTAATATGTGAAAAAGAAGCCCTCGATGGCCTTTCTTGCAAGCTTCCACCTCCGCATGTTCGCCCGCCGAGGCGATGGAAAGCAGGAAGAAGAGAGCTAATTGAAAGGCGAAACAAAGAAGAAAACTCCTCATCGTTTTGATAACTCCATCATAAATATAAAAACAAAAGGCAAAAATATAATTTTTTTGAAATATCAATTACAGAAAAACGAAGTTTCGCTGTTTCTTGCACTAGATTCCTCTACTATTGAATAAAGGATCGTGATCTCGGGTGTATCGACCTCGCCTAAAGAACAAAGAGGAAACCGACGCAAAATTAAAATTTTCATCTTTTAGTTTGCTTTTTATACCAATTGTAGTATACTTTTCACTTTTTATTTCTTTTTACTGTGTTTTCTGAAATTTTGAATAATGATGATAATCGTAGATTCTGCTTCTCGATCCGTGGTCCGCCGACGCTCCACCGCCACCACGTCATACAAAACAGCAAATTGAATGCGCGAAGATCATTTAAAACAAATTTGCTTTCTCTTCCTAAATATGAAAATTGAATTAATCTTGAAAAATTGAATAAGTTAACAAATCAAATATTTTTTTCTTAGCTTTTTGTGCACTCTTCGTCCGCACACTCAGGCGATGCGCACAGCGAGTTAACTGACGACTGTCTCGAGAACGCCACCCACCGGTATAGCACCCCCTCTCCTCTTTTTTTGTTTTTTCTTTCAAAATTAAGATTAAAATCAACAGTTTATATAATTGTTCTTTAAACTCTTTATTTTTTGCCCCAATTTACTGCACTTTTAAGCAAAAGAAGAAACCTGCGTATGGCGACCCGCCAACCCCAGCAGCCGGCCATCGGCAGTGGTTTGATGTGGTAATTCTGTAGTTTCGGTAAGAAAGTTTAGTTTTAGAATGATTTAAAAGAGTTTTTAACAAATGAAATGCAAAAGTGGATCTTTTTTGAACTAAATTAGAATAAAAAGAGTTTTATAAACTGAGAAATATCTGCAGTAGAGCAGCTAAACTCTGCTGCTGCGCTGCTGCAGCAAGCCGTAGTGACGAGCCTCTTCTTCTTCGCCTAGCTGCGATTGTTTGTTGAGTTGAGAGCGAATGGGTGTGTTTTTTGCGTTTATTTATTTCTAGGTTTTGCATTTAAACGTTTACATTTTACTTCCCTTCCTTTCTTCTCATCATTTACTCCCCTTCATTTCTTCTTCTCCTCATCGTATCGATAGATATATCGAGAGCAGCCAACCACAACAGCCACTCGTTTGCTTGCCTTTGCTCTGAATTCTATCAAACCATTTAAACACTTTAATATATTTAATCTCTTCTCAGTTAATTCATTAAAATAAACAAAAATGGCTGCACCAAACGCCTTCTACACCATGCGCCCTGTCATTCCCCAAACTCGCTCCGATACATCTTCGCGCGTAACCATCAAGAATATTCCTTTGGGGGTGACAGAGGTGAGAAGAGACTGCAGAAATATATTTAATTTGTTTATTCTTTTTCTGCTTTTCAGGGGTTTATGCGAACTCTTCTTTGCTTCTTTCCGCATGTGCTGGCTGCACCATCCAACGATACGCTCTCAATCATAACTTTAATAGCTTTCAGGGGGGGTGTTGTGTTATATCGTTTGTTTGTTTATTTGCTTATTTGTTTATATATTTATTCGTTTGGATGGTGCTTTGTTAATCTGTTTGTCTGTTTACGTGTTTGTTCCTATTGGTTGTTTCGATTTGTTTGTTTCTGTTTGTTTGTTTCTATTTGTTTGTATGTTTGTTTGTTGAGGGGTTTTCTTTTGTCTTGTTTGCTTTCTACTTGCTGCTTTCGTGTGATGTCGGAAGAACGATATCATCTGCGGTGTACATACACCGCAGATAGAATAAACATATCTTAGGACAAAAAAGTTTTTAAATTATAATAATATTACAATAAAATAAAAAATACCATATAAAAATAAAATTTAATTCATAAAATACAAATATATATTTAAACGAAATAAAATTTTATTCTTGTGCGTAGTGGTGCGGTGTATGTACAACTCAGGCTCAGCTGAAGGCGAATTTATCGAAGCACGGCGATATCCGCGTTCATATGTTTGTTCCTGCAACAGAATATGGCTTAGGCTGGGCCTGGGTGACCTGTGAAAAACACGAAGATGTTGAAAAGATGTTAGCATATGCAGCAGAAAAGAGAGAGAAAGAAGCGGCTGCACTAAGAGAGAGCGCCCAAGAAAGCGTGCAAGCAAAGAAGGACAACGATGGTGCATCAGATGCAGCAGAAGCAGCAGATGCAGCAGCAGAGACATCTGCTGATGATGCTAAGAGCAGCGAATGCTCTGAGGAAGTTAGTGATGCCTAAACAAACAGCAGCAAAAACAACGGCAGATGCAGAAGCAGCAGCAGCAGTCGCAGCGATATAAGATATACACCGGTTGGTGTGCTGCTGCTTTTCCATCTGCTGCAGCTGCAGCAGCAGCTGCTGCAGCAGCAGCTGCTGCAGCAGCAGAGCTCATAGAGCCCTTTTGTTGTTGAATGCATGCAGAGACAACTCTCGTGTGTATGTATGTACAGCTTTTTTCCTCTCCTTTTTTGTTTAAACACTGAACATAACATTTGCTGGAACTGCACTCCTCGCTTTCAGCTATCCCCTGCTGCTGCTGCTGCTGCTGCTGTTGTTGTTGTTGCTTCTGCTGTTGCTGTTGCTGCTGTTGCTGCTGCTGCTGGGCTGTTTGATCGCATAGAGGAAGTAGTTGTTGATGAAAATGAAAGCAAATAGAAGCAAATAAACATTAGGTTGTTAGGGTTTGGAGTTTGTGAGAGAGGATAGTTGAGGGCCTCTCCTTGGAGCGGTGCTTTGGGGGTTTAGGGTTTAGCAAAGGGTTTAGCGTTTAGGGTTTAGGGTTTGTATATTGTTCTTCGTTAGGTGCTAGCAGCAGCAGAGGTTCATTGAGGTCTCTGTCTATGAAGCAGCTTTTATCTATTCCTTCTCCTTCGTAACTAACTAAAGGAGAAACTTCACAAAAAACGTGATGGGGGCTGTCTGGATGGCGACCCGGAAGAGGAGTTGCTGCTGCTGCTGCTGCTGCTGCTGCTTCTCCTGCTGCTGCTGCTGGTTGAGGTGCAGCAGCAGCAGCAGCAATCCATTTTGCGTGCAGTCGAGAGAGCAGCAGCTGCGCATGTTCAGGTGTATCTGCAGTTATTGAAGACACCTCAACAACTCCTTCTTTTAATTTATTTATTTCTTTTTCTCCTGAGACCTTCACCGGTGCGAACTCTTCTTCGCGCTCAACTTCCAAACACTGCACATAAAGCAATGAACAATAAATAATATATTAATAAATACATAATAAACTATAATTAGTAAACAATAACTAATAAATTATAATTCATAAGCAACTACTAGGAAATACTAATTCACAAACAATAAATAACGAGAAATAATAAATAACAAATGATAAACAAGAATAAAGAAATAATCAACATGAAAGAATAAATAATAAATAAGAACGACAAGTAACAAACAATCAATAAACAACAGCCCCACTCCGTATCCATCCTCTTTTCCTAAACCCTAAACCCTATACCCTAAACCCTAAACCCTAAACCCTAAACCCTTACGACAACTCTGTCTGCGAATGCGAATGCATCAAATATGAAGAGCTCTAACTTCCATCCATTGGGCTCTTTGGGTGTCTCTAAGCTCCAACTGAGCGTTTTTTCTGTCTTTGTTTCAGGTGTACAGACAGCTCCTGCTGCTGCAGCTCCTGCTGCTGCTGCAGCTCCTGCTGCTGCTGTTGTTTCTGGTGCTGCTCCTACTGCTGCTGCCCCCGCTGCTGCCCCTGCTGCTGCTGCTGCTGTTGCTGCTGGTTGTTGTTGTTGGTGATTGCTGCTGAAGCAAACAAGCTGAGGGATTTTTTTTTGTGCTGGATGAAACTGTTTTTCAAATAATTTTAAGTTGGCGGCGACTGCATCCATGAACTCAACACTAAAATAATGCATGCAGATATTTCCCCACTTAAATAAACCCCCAAACTCTGATGCACACGAAGGCAGCTCCGAATACTCAGCAACACCCCCAGCCCAGCGACTCTTCTGCTCCTGCTGCTGCTGCTGCTGCTGCTGCACCTGCTGCTGCTGCAGCAAACAGGGGAGTTGGGTTTGCAGCTGGCAGACAACTCCGATATTTTCTGTCTTTGATTTTCTACAGATTACTTTGTTAGCGACCTGAGAACAAACAAACAAACAAAGAAGCAATAAAAATAATTATTTTATATTTGAATAAATAAAAAATTGATTTTGTGTTTATTATTTTATATCTTTTTCTTTTTTATTTTTTTTATCCTCTTTACTTCTGCTGTATTTAAGCACAAATCAGGTGAAGGGCTCTACTGCCACCTGTTACTTTTATTTGTTTCTTTAGTGTCTATTTATATATTTTTTTATTTTATTTGTTTATTTGTTTATTTAATTGTTTATTTATTTATTTGTTTATTTGTTTATTTGGGTGTTTGCCTACAAATTTATTTATTTATTCTTTTATTTTTTTGGTTTGCAATCACTATCAAAACATTACTGAATTTTATTATTATTTATATTTATTTATTTTTTATTATTTATTTACATATTTGTACATTATATATTTATTTATATATTATTAAACTACCTATTAATTATTAATTAATTTATTGATTATATATACATATATTTATTTATTATCACAATATTAATTATTATGAATATAATATATTAAAAATAGATTTAAATATTTATATATTTATACATAAATATTAAGATATTAATTATTAATTTAAATATTTATATATTAATTAGTATTACATTTGCATTTGCGGTGTACGCAAACCCAAAGAAAGTCGGGTCTGCAATTTTTGCGAGTAAATTATCGACGGGGATAATTTGAACTCCAATTAATTTTTTTTCTTTTGCATGCATGAGAGCTCCGCTGTCTTTAAATGCATTAAAGACAGCTCCATTACCAGAGGGAGCAGTTAAAAGAGAGAAGGGGGCAGACAGCATTAATTTTGCGTCTTTATCAAATACAGGAGCCGTTGATTGAGAAAAAATAAACACATTTGCTTTCTGTAAACCAAAATAATTATTCTGAGCAAAACATAACTCCGTTGCTTCACGGTTCAAAGGGCTTGTCATTATATACAGAGGCACCTTACAAATGCTGCTGCTGCTGCTGCTGCTGCTGCTGCTGTTGCTGCTGCTGTTGCTGTTATTGGAGCCCGCTGCAGCAGCAGCAGCAGCAAGAGCAGCAACTCTCTGCAGTCTTTGAGCATAAATGCAAAAGAATGATTTCTTAGACAAAGGAGAAACAGGTAAAGAACCCTTCGGCCCCTTAAAACCCAAACGACTGCCGTCGCCTCCAGCCAGCAGCAGCACACCCACCTTCCCCTCAGCTGCAGCAGCAACAGCAGCAGCAGCAACAGCAGCAGCAGCAACAGCAGCAGCAGCAGCAAAAACAATAACACGGGCAGAGATATTAGTAGCAGCACCAGTTATAGCAGTAGTAGCAACAGCAACGTCAGTAGCAGCAGCAGCAGCAGCAGCAGAGCAGCTCAAGAATGCACAGTCAATCCATGTATATACTGCAGCATCAAAACCGCCAGTAGCAGCAGCAGCAGCAATAGCAGCAGCAGCAGTAATAGCAGCAGCAATAGCAGCAGCAGCAGCAGCGGCAGCAGCAACTGCAGCAATAGCAGCAGCAGGTTGTCTCGAACGAAGTGGATTGGAAGAGAAAGAAAGCATTAAAGGTGCCTATACACCTCAGCATCGCTCACCTATAAGCCGCAAACCGACATCTCTCCACATACACCTCAAAGCGGAGGGAGATGTCTTTAAAGAAACCACTGAACAAACACCGCCTTTATTCAATAACTCCTGATAAGCAGCAACTAACTCCTCTTCATCCTGCTGCTGCTGCTGCCTCTGCTGTTGCTGCTGCTGTTGGTGCTGCTGCTGCTGCTGCTTTTGTAGGAGAGCGTTGAGAGGGGAGAGATCGACGAAGTTTGGGGGTTTTATTTTGTGTGCTGCGGTTAGGGAGTTGTTTGAGTTGCTGCTAGTTTTTGCTGCTGAGTTCTGCAATGCAGCAAGAAGCATAGACTTCAATTCGAGCGGGTTATACTGCTGCAGTTGCTGCAGCAGCTGCTGCTGCTGCTCGTGGGAGAGGTCTTCATAGAAACGAAAGACATGCTCTTGCCCAGCAGCGGCATATGCAGCACGCACAGAAGCCTCTAAACCCTCCATCACTACAAACCCTAAACCCTAAACCCTAAACCCTAAACCCTAGGGGTTGAGTGAGGGAAGAAAAGGTAATTATAATTAGTTTCAGTTTAAAGAGTAAGAATTCAAATGGGTTTGCGAGGAAGACAGACACACAGAAAAAACATAGTACTACGCATGTAGGCAAACCCTAAACCCTTATATGCACCTTATAAACCCTAAACCCTAATCCCTAATTAATTATTTATCGGCAAGAAACAGAAGTTTAAATGTTGAAAAATCGATAGAGGATTGTATTTCATTAGGAAACGCTCGCATACACGGAGATAAAGCCCCAGCGACCCTAAGCCCTAAACCCTAAACCCTAAACCCTAAACCCGAACACCCCCCACTGGTTGGTTTGGTGATTGCTTTGGGTTCGCGGGTTTTTGGGGTCTCTGCGTTTATCTTTGTTTGATATTCGTTATATTTATATATTATTTAATAACAACAAACTTTTCTGTTGCTTTGCAGGGGCAGACCCGTAGGAGGCAGCAGGCGAAGGGTTTAGGGTTTAGGGTTTAGGGTTTAGGGTTGATATATATATACATATATATATATATACCCCTTACACTGTTTGTGCATCCTTATAACACTATATTTGAGGTGTACATACACCTCAATTCTTGAAGATGTTCGCCGACGAGAACTTCTTCTCTCCCTCTGCAACAGGTTCAGATTTTTTGTCTTCTGAACCACGTAAGAGCGTGGGGGCCCCCCAAGGGGGCCCCCTTGGAGTATCTTCATCGCGTATGTTTGGGGTGTCTGATGAACTATTAGGAGGGAGCGAGGGTTTATCTCAATCTTATGCATCATCACAGAAGACTCCGCAGCCAAGTGCTGCTGCACAGACACCTGATGGGTGTATATGCAGCACTATAGGGATGCTACGCAGAGCTGTAAAGGAGAGAAAGGGGGGTGGGGGGTCGCTTAGATTATTTGGAAGAGATGTAGGGTTAGTGTGTCTTTGCGGGTCTTCTTCAAATGTTGACATCCGCTCTTCTTTATTTAAATTCGTTCTTCAAGATACAACAGGCTCTATTGAAGTTGAATGTGCGAGTAAACCGGTGCTGAACAAACTGCAGCAGCAAACAGAAGCACCAGAAGAAGACCCCGCCAGCAGCAGCAGCAGCAGCAGCAACAGGAGCAGCAGCAGCAGCAGCAGCACTGAGCTGCTGTGCAAGACCTTAAGAGAGGGGGGGCTTGTTTCAGTGTATGGATATGCATGCACAGATGATAAGGGTGCGGTGTACATCGATTGTTTAAAGGTAGCAGCAATCGAAGACCCGAGCGAATATATTATTTCTTTTCCCCTTAGAGTTATTGCAGCTGCTATGCAGGCTCAAGCTGCAAACACAAACAACTCTATTAAAAATGAAGACAAGCTAAGCAACGAACAACACACAAACACCAAACAAGAGACACAAGGTATGATGCTGTCGCCTCCTTCGGCTCCTCTAGATGCTGCTGGTGCTGCTGCTGTTGCTGCTGCTGCTGCTGCTGCTGCTATTCACGCTCCCCCCGTACTGCTGCGGATCATGTTGCCGCTGCTGCTGTTGTTGCTGTTGCTGCTGCTGTTTCTATCTGCGGGGTGTTTTATATTGCTTTGCCGGGGTCTTTATCTTAGTTCTGCAGCAAAAGACTATGATATGATTTGGGCTTCTTATTTAGGGTTTAGGGTTTGGGGTTTAGGGTTTACTATATATTTTGTCTGTGTGTGTGTATTTGCTGTTGTTGGATTTCTTATGTTATAATGCCTCGAGCAAACAAATAGAAATGAATTACTGCATTAAATAAAAAACAAAGAGAACATCTTCTTCTTTTTGCTGCTGTCTGTACAGATGAAGCCTCCATGGAGCTGTATGAACATGTAAGCGATCCGCTGCAGCGACAGCTGCTGAAGCTGCTGCTAGCAGCAGAAAACAAAACTATGAATAGGCAGACTCTCCCCAGCAAACTCGGAGGCCACAGCGGTGAGCCAATACAACACCCCTTTCCCCTCAGCGGTCTATTAGGGTTTAGGGTTTAGGGTTTAGGGTTTAGAAAGAAAAGCAGGGGGAGAAAGTGGCAGACACATCGAGGCTTCGCGTCGAGCTGTATGTCTACTTGAGATGCCTATATCTATACACCTGACCTGAATGTACACCTGAGCTGCATGTACACCTGAGCTGTTGGCCCTGTGTATGTACACTGCAGCCGATGCTATAGAAGAGGCGCTGAAGGCGCTGGAGGATTCTGGAGATATTGCAATGACGAGCACTTGGGTTTCTTTGGCCTCTTGAGGGCCCTCGATGATTGCTGCTTCTGGCTGTTGAGGTGTACGTACACTCCAAGCAGAAGCAGCAGCAGCAGCAGCAGCGGCAGCAGCAGCAACAGATTGGAGCGCACTCCTGTTCTGTTTAAAACAGAAAACTAAAACAAAAAAGAGAAAAGTAATTGTTGATTTGAGTCTTCGCGGAGGCGAGAGAAGAATTTCTATAGGGGTTTTCAGGTGTATGTACTTCTGAAAGACTTTATATTTGTTTACTTGAGAATATCATTAAAACTATCTCTCATTTAAACCCCCTTGGTGTATCTAATGGGGTCGTAGATAGCAGACAGATATATTTCTGCTTATTATTCTTTGTAGTAGCTACTGCAAGCTGCATTGTTATTATATTATTGTTTTCAGAGCATGCGTGCGTGAAGCAGATGTCTAATTAATAGGAATAATAGCAAGAATATATATCGTAAGAAGAATAATAATAAATAATAATAGATAATAATAAATAATAATATTGCAGCCGCCCTTAGCTCTTTCAGATTTATCTCGGAGCATCAGGAAGACAACACGATTAAAATTGATTATCTCCTTCTGGACTATCAAATGAATGCCCAAGGAAGGCATACACTGCACCCAGAGCTAAGGTGTAGGGTTTAGGGCTTAGGGTTTAGGGTTTACGCCATAGCTGAAGGCAGGGGAGGCAGCGCCTCCCACATGAGTCGCGAAATCGCCCGTAGTTGGAGTGCTGCAAAATACGACAATAATAATAGGGAGAAACAAATAAACAACAAAATGCACAGCAGGCTGTGCATAGCTATTAGCTGCATCGATGCCCTTAGCAGAGACTCGAGAGTTTAGGGTTTAGGGTTTAGGGTTTAAAGTTTCCCTAGAATGCAACGTGAATTGGAGGGAAGTTGAAGGAATGCTGTGCATGCGTTGAATGACCCACCGCACATGAGAGAGAGGACAGCTGAAACTGCGCCTGTAGCGCTGAGTGCAGTTAGCAGTTGTTTATAAAAGACAGGCGCCGGTGTACTGCCAAGAGCTGACTGCGGGGTGATATACAGCAGGACGGAGAGGTTTCCCAGGAAAGGGAGAAGAGAAGTAAAAGACAGTAGAATGTGCACGAAGGCAGACTGAGATAACAAACTTGCCCGCCCCTTATAACACCCAGCAACCCCCAAACCCACGCCTAAACCAGCCAGCAGCAAATTGCAACCCGCATACACAACTCTCCAGTTGAAGGCCCCATGCAATGCGAGAGGATGAAATGTAATTGTGAGACCCAGCGCGAACGTTGTTACTGTTGTTGCTATACAGAGGAACCACAAGATGTACAGACACCGCAGAGTCCGCAACACCAGCGTCTTTCCATCGGCGTCGAAATACTTCAAAAACGAATACTGAGGCTCAGACGAATTCAGCAAAGCTCCTGTGGAGGTATCGCCTGAATTAGAGTCAGACATGGTGGCGGCTATGGCTGGCTGAACACGGTGTATCGACAGCCCAAATCAGGAAAGCGCTGCTGAAAAAGATAATCTGAGGCTCAGTTGCTCTTTTTATTCAGAAAACAGTAAAAATATTCTTCAAAAATATTAACTTTTATATCAATACCTCCATTAAAACTCCAAAGGATGCAGCAAAACATTACGCTTAAATCTTGAATAACCAGCTGTGGTGGTGAGCAGGCGATGAGAACAGACAAACGGCTGGCGATGGTACTGAAGACGATGGCTTCAGAGAAACATGTAAAAGGGAGATCAATTTCGAGAGTTTTAATTCATCTTTCAACTCGATCTTAACGCCAAGTTATTTTTCTCTTGAATTTCCTCTTATTTAGCTGCCTATACACCGCAGACTTCCTCAACGTCGGCCCTACTCTAGCAGAAACCTGAATCTGCACGAGGGAAGAAACGTCTTAGAAAGAACTATGAAATATGCCTTCTCCATTCTCTACATTAATATTATTACTGTAAATGGGCATATATTATATATATTCTGAGCGTCTTCAATTTCATTGAGTATTAAAATCTTCAAAATATCGTCTTTACTGCCGACAGGCGTCTGTTGTTGAATCGTCGTGACCTTGACCATAGTAAAAATATCTTTATTTTTTTCAAAAATATAATACCAGGCTTGAACAGGTGACTGAAGGACTTCATTCCTTTATATATTTAAATTTTAAGATTCAAATGCATCTGAAATTTTTACAATTATTTTGCCTAAAAGCCCTGACCATTGGACCAGTTCACCGTTGGGGTTTCTCTGTAGCTCCCAACGTAAGCAAAGAAAGGCAGGTATTCAGAACAAGCTTTTTCCATAAGGATGAAAAAACAGGAAGTAAACTCTAGACGCAAACAAGCAGACACACCGAACTCCCGCGCGTCTCGCGTCGCTGTCAACAGGCGCCATGGTAGCAACAGCCCTTCGAGATATGCGGGTTTGTTTAATGCGCATATTCAATGGCTTGCTTGTGATACAGTGGAAGCATGTGCTACCGATTATCTAATTGTAGGCAACGGCCTGATAGCTTTTCAGGAAGTAAGATTTTTATTTTACAAGATCTCCGTTGACTCAGCGTGCATCTGGAAAAAGAGTATATTTCATTTTGAGCACTAGAAAAACGGAAAGCCCCTGAAGAGTGCTTTAGAGCGTGTCCTTACCTTTGAGCGTGCTTGAAGAAGAAATCCAGCCACAAGCGAATGAAGTGATGTGAGGAGGCAAAGTGCAGCCGTCAACTGGACAAAATCCAGTGCTAGCAAGGTAAAAGGAGTAAAGTTAGCTCACGAGCTATGATTTCCAGCCCCCCGACAACATCACGGTTGAGGCGAAAATTACGGATGCTTCTAATTAGGAACTACTCCACCAATTGCCGTGTTTCGCAACCTTCCCGTCAACTGACTTCGTTCACGCGCTTCTTCAAATTGCAACGCAGAAGACAGGGACAAGGCTGCCTTTTACACTCAAAATAAAGCACACGTCTACGGTATTGGGCTAGTGCGTGCACCTTTGAAACTGCAGCAACAAGCTAAGCACGGTTTCGTTTGCCCGAACAGTGCGGGCTGGACGGCCCCGTACATGGAGGGCATGATTGCCTTCACCCGAAATCTGCAGGGGCACTTTTACAGCATCTGCGGCATGCGCTGTAACTGCATCTTGAGGAAAAGTGGAGTGAAAAAAACAGAAATAGCTGTTTTATCATGCAAGTAATTAGACTACTTTTGCTGCTCTTCTACAGAGTTCGAGGGTGGTCTAGAGAAGAGAACCCAGTCGCCCATGCCGCACCTTCTGTAAGCTCGTCCGTGTGAGCCCACAGGGATGCTTTGAACTTCTTCTGGCCACCTGAGGTCGTTTCTCGCACTAGCACTGCCTAATTTCGGCAAATCTTGTGCTCTAGAAACCTGTGTGAATGACAGGATTATTTGTATGATACGCTTTCCGCAAGCTGACTATTTCAAAGGGCGGCAAGGAAGGCCCTGCTACAGAGGGCCTCTAATGGAAACAGGGGAGAAACATTCGGCACGCGAGACAAGAGAGCATTACATGGCCTTGTGGGGGACAGAAAGTGTTGATATTACTAGTACGGCAAATACTTCTCCGTCCCAAAGAGAAGTCAACGCCACCCATGATGAAGATTTCTCGAGACGTCGGTGCCAAAGGGGTCTCTCGGTAGCATTCACGCAGAAAGCCTGCATGCCCACAGGTGTATAACGAATATCACCTACGGGTTCAATACAGCACTCTCCCGACGTCCCACCGGTCATGCAATGTGCTTGAAAATTACTCCTGTGTGCAATGATTTCCGCTATAATAAATTGCTATCCCCTGGCGTCTTCGATATATAAGTAGATGTGATTCCTGCCAAACTGAATAATGAACGACGAGTTTACTATTACAGCATAGACACCGAACTCCTGCAATACCAGACGACATGCGGAATGCTCTAATTTTGCCTCCCTTTGCTTCGCACAGGAGTTTTGCCGAAAATGCACAATCACGCTTTTCCTGACTGTTGCTGGGTTGCATTAGAAGTAGGGCGGCTGCACGGGGTCTTTTGGCAGCCTAGATTGCGTCCGCCATCCCATAAATATGTTTTCTCCGGAGTTCCACGCAACCCCATGGAGGCTGCGGAATGCTTTTAAACTTAGACCCTTGGAAAGCCATTTGGCTCCTCAGCAAAGCTGGGCGGACACCTCGATGAACGCCGCAGTGGGATCTCGTTCATTCAGAAGCACGTACCAACAATAGGCTGTTGTGGATAGGTTCAGCAAATGTGCGCACATCATCCGTAGTTAGCACCCAGGGAAGACGCTGGCCCAAAGTTTTGCCTACCCCTTCTGAAAGATCTGGGGCACTATTAATGCTAAGAGGAATGAAATATGTTCAAGAGGACTCTGGCTCCAACTCATGACGCGTCTCTACATGGATGAGAGTTCCACCCTGCACCACTTGGAATGGAAAAACTGCACTGTGGCGCACGATTTGTTTCTCTATGCCGAGCAGAATTCAACGAAATGACCCAAGTTCCTTCCGTGTGTGCAATAGCTTAATAATCCAATCAAGTACTCCGCAACCTGATGTTTCCCGGCCTCCCTAGTTTACGCCGAGACGCCGCTGGCTTACCTGATCCGAGAGTTGGTGGCAGGATAAAGCCTTCATCTCTCTGCATCGACAAGCTTCCGAATGCATTTTTAAGGGGTTGTGAAAGCAAGAAGAACCCACAAGAATGCCAGGCAAGACACCACGACAAACGATGTTTTCGCAAAAGCTTTTAGCCACGCGACTTTCTCTGAGTGGATTATCACCCTGTTGGGATTCCGTGGGCGCGTGGACAGCCGGACAAATTAGCCAACGGCTAGTTGTGGCCTTGTTGTTCGTTCATGTGTCGGCGCATCGACTTCCATCATGCGTGCATTCGGTAGTCCACCCACCTATACCGAGGTAAACCGAAAAATCCTATTACTAAACCAGTGCATGCTTCTGTGACAAGATTACCAACACCTTCCTTTGGCCCAATCTGCAAGACCGCAAGCATCTTCCCTACTCCATAACGTAAAGTATAGTATGGCCTGTGTGAGGTGCTTATATTTCTACCTACGTGCAGGCTGGCTATTCAGGGCCACGTAAGCATTATCCAATTGTAAATAGTGTTACTGTATGCAACAGGACGTGGTTTGTGCGCAATTGCACGTACGGTTGCCTTGCGGCGGGAGTTGTAACGAGGAATGCCGAAGCTCATGGTGGATCACCTCCTCTCCTCACCAGGCTTACGTGTTTGTGCCGCTGTACACCTGGGTACTGAAGGGGAGGTAAGATGCTTCTTATAGTCAGTATTGTCTCCGTTGCATCTCATGACGGTCCTCCACTAGTATCGAAGACTTGCAAGTATGTTGCAACGAGGACTCTAGCTACACCAACTGCAACGAGGGTCCTCTGCCTTAGGAAAGAACTGCAGCAGGGTCAAGAGTGACGATAAAAATACCCAGAAAGCAGCTGCTCCAATCTGCACGAGTCCCTCAGTACGACGGCACAAGGGCCTGGAGCTGGTGCGGCGAGGAGCAGGCCCTTCGTGAGTTGCAACGCCATTTGGTGTAACTCTTGCTGCTAGGCAACCCCACTGGGATATGAATCCATGCCCATGCCCTCTTTTGATGCGTGCACTATTACTGTAGACAATTGTTAAACACTTACTTGGTTATCACTATCCAACCTGCACAATTAGACATATACGTAATTCACACTGATCATGCTGCAGAAAGAACCTCACGGAACACGTCGAAGGACGGGGGATGACCGTTCGGTCCCACTGCTGCTTAAGGGGGCGTGGGTTCATATGCTTGTGGGGTTGCCTAGCCGCAAGAGTTACACCACAGGGAGTTGCAACTCATGAATAGCCTTCTCATTTTTGTGCCCCTGATGTATTACACCCTGGTTTTCATTAGAGAAACGCCACGTCCAAGCAATTCCTGCCGTAAAACCTTGAACGTAGCTTGACGAAACATATGCCATCAAGAAATAAATAAACCGAAACCAAGTGCATTTTCCGTTTATCTTTTTAACCTTAATAAACTGAAAAAAAAGTAATTGCATGCTTTTTCTGCCCGTTGCTGTTCTCGACATCCTCTAGGAATGGCCAGAGGGCATTAGCAGAAACAACCCTCTTCGACTTGTCCGTGAAAATCAATTTTCATTCAATTTTTTAGCAAAACAAAAAATGAGACTCCATTAAAAAATTCTGCGCACTGCAAAAACTATGCAAAAAGTTGACCATATGCAGCCTACAGGATTGGGGGATGTGCGGTTTTGTGCAAGTTTTCGCTAGTTGCTATTCATGGAAGTACATCACACAATTAATTATTTTTCATTTATTTTTGCAAAATTTCACAGTTAATGCTCTCCCAAAAGGCAAAACAACACATTTAGAGTATGCTAAGAATTCTTACTAGTCAGCTACTGTGCCGGTCGATACAGTTCCGCTCCCCGCACGGAAAGTTAAACACGAGCTTCCTTCAAGCCGCATCTAACGGAACACCACAAGCGTTACAAATGCATAAACAATTCAAATTATTTCTTTTCCTCTTAAACTGACGGAACCGCTGACCGTGGTATTCCGTGCGGCGGCGTTACAAAATTTCATGTTCAACTCCCTTCGGCAGAGGTCCAATCGAGGTGACACATCTTTCCTTCTTTTCTCGCGATCATAGTTTTTTTGTCCCATTCACTTCTTAAATTTGGGCGCAACATGTTTAGCAGGAACTCCCTGTTCCGATTGGCTGCAGCGGCCGCCTACGCTTGCAACTCCACATAGACGTTTCCGGAGACGTCAACATATTACTTCCTGCCGCAAATTCCTTTTGCTCTCATTTCTTCTATTCAAATCGTGTCAGGTGCTCCCGAAATGCTTGTTTGACGGTCTTGCTATCCCACGTCACCTCCCCTCTCCCTAACTTCTCTTTTTCTTGATGAACTCCGCGATGCGTTGTAGAGATTTGATTCAGGGCTGCAAATCTTCAAAGGCGCAAAAAAAACATACGCATTTGACTTCATGATAAGCATATCCTTTGTCTTGCTCATGCCAGACAGTGTGCATGCTTAGGTTAGTCAGCAGCAGCAGCAACAGCGGCAGCTGCAGCAGCAGCCAACGCGGCAGCAGCAGCAAGAACAATCGCAGCGTCAGCAACACCAACACCAGCAGCAACGGCAAGAGAAACGGGAACGACAGCAGCAACACAACCACCACCACCAATGAGCGCCTCCGGCTCCCAAACTGCAGGCGCCTACAACGTAGACGGCGTTCCTCATTTTCCTGAGCCGGTCCCAGCAGATCGCGTGCCTCAAGTCATTGCAGCAGCAGAGTCTGTACCCGTTCCTTGGTGGGCTTTCTGGCGTAGCCCCCAACGCCGTCCCTACAAACCCCAAGTTGTAGAAGTGTGGCAACACGTCGCCTACGAGTATCACGTCCTCGGCAAAAAGAGAAAACAGAATGATTGAAGCGTCTAGCCAAGCTTGAAGAGCCTTAGAACAATCTGCGGCTCTTTTTGGGCTCAGACCCAATCGACAACCAACTCATACTACGCAATATACGCTGTGTAAATACATACTTCTGTGCTTGCATGTGTATGAAAAAGAGCAATACAGACGCACAGGCAGCCTTCAAAGCTATAAGCAAATTACACGCAAGACAACCCGTACCCTCCTTCCCGAGTTTAGTTTTTACTTTCAAAGAGTCTAGTGCTCCCTCTTTCAATGAATGCCATCGAAACCCCCTCGTCGGGGGGCCCCGGGGGGGGCCCCACAACAGGGGGCCCCCGTCCCTTCGGCCGTCATTTTGCGGGCGGCATATTTCCTAACTTGACGAATATTACAAAGGTAAGATTTGTACGATAACGCTTTGGAATGTTTGTACAGATGAGGTGTACGTACCCATTAAAAGATCTGTGATGTTTGTGGCCTGTTACGTCGAATTTTTAAACTATCATTTGAACACCTGCATGGCAAAGGAACAGGAACGCAGGCAGTGGAGGCTTTGACAAATCCTATGCCTGCTCCCCTGTGTCTCTGCTTTCGCTGGTTCTTCTGCTGCGGGTGCGGCGGCTTGCCTGGCTGCTGTTGCTAGCCTACCCGCCAGCTGTAGCTTGCAGTAGTATTGTAATTGCTGTAGCACAACCCCAACTGTAGTAAAAAAATACGCACAATTATGTATGCGCAGGAATAGCATTATTGCTATTCCTCTTTCTCCATTCCCACGGCATCCGTTGCTGCTGTTTTTGGATTTGCTGCAGCCTCCAGCCTTTTCGTATTCGTTTCGAAACGCAGAAATGAACGTCCGGTTTTATGGGGGTGGTCAAGAGGGGGAAGAGAAGGACGAAAACTCTGAGAGCGACGAAGAGCAAGGGGAGCAGTCTAGCAAATGCGTCTCTGCCTCTAAAGACTTCCTATCTGCTGTATTTCCCAATACATATCCCCTCTTTTGGCTGGCCCTGCCCTTCGCAGTCTGTGCAGTGCTGGCCGCCGCCTCCTTCGGCAATAACACCCACGCAGAAGAAGAAGGCCTTGTGGTGTTTGCGAGAGAAAATCGATTCAACGCAGCAGCCAACGACCCCGACACCCAAACCACATTTGTAGGCAACGCATTTCGTTAACAGTGCAACAGGCCCTTACTACTGAACACATTATATACATATATATATAATGTATATATATATATATATA